TCTTCCACCCAGGCAGCTTCCTGGGGGGCCCCGCGTCCAGCTTCACCCCCAAGCCGCGAAGCAAGGCCAGATCTTGTTCGGGTAAGTGCTGCACCCCGTGGCCTCCCTGCCTCGGCCGGTGGTGTCCCCGGGGTGCAGGGTCCGAGGTGAGGGCCGCGCTGCTGGGGGTGCCTGCATGGTGAGGTTGGCTTGGCTGGGTGTTTGTTGTAGCTCTCCTGGGGACACAAGGGTAGGTGACTACTTGGTCCCACTTTTCCAGGTGTTTTGAACTAGGAGATGTCAGGCTTCCTAGGTGCCCTCGTGTCCGCAGGGCGCTCAGACGGGGCCGGAGGATACAGATACAGGGAGCAGTGTGGTGTGAGCTGGCCTATCAGGCTGTATAAAGAGGGATTTGTATGAGGAAAAACTGTTTCTCTCGGAGAAAAAGCTGGCCTCGGCCACCCGAGGGTCGCAAGCCCGATCCTGCTCCCCCAAGTCAGTAAAACCCGCACGGGTTACACGAGGGGACTTGCTAGCGATAGGTATTTCTCCCTCAATAATTTCCACGGCTCTTCATTAACGCGAACCGAGGCCCCAGCGCAGGATGAAAGCGAAACCTCCCCGGCCGGCCCACTTCACATCGCAGAGGGCCTTATTTGCCTCACATTTTACAGGAGCAAAAGTTCAAATACAGTTTACATACCAGTGCGAAAGACTTGGGGTGTCCAGTCATCACCAACTTACTTCAGCCTAACTTGAACTAGAAAATACCTTTTTGGTTTTTTCCTTCCCCTGAAGCAGACATATTTCTCCTTCCAAATGACTGACTGCAGACACTTCCCGTGTTCGCTACCCTTCCTTGCATTTCTTCTTAATAGTGCAGTCCTAAATTGGCAAATTAGATGATGGACGTAGTTTTGATCCCACTTTGAAATCACGCTAGTTGTGCTGCTTAAAAGACGAATTAAGGCAACTTGTGTAATTCGACTACCCTTCCTGGTTTAACATCCTTGGCCACGGAAGGAAATGAAATACAGTATTTTGGGATTGAATTTAGATAGCCCTTTAAAAAGAAATGGTTGTATATGCTTTTGTGCGTTTATTCTTGTAAATCATTGCACATCTATGCTTATGAATAGACTACATGTATTTATTGTTAAAGCAGACAATAATTTAGAAATGTGATCCGTTATGAGTTTTGCAACAAAAGTATCAGCTATTTTACAAGCTCATCAGCTCTGTTTCAAATGGCTCCTCTGAGGGGAAAAACAACTCTCCCTCTGCCATTATTTAAATGCAATTGCTACTATGTGTATTTTTTTAGTAATGCACAGAGTAGTCAGTAAATGCAATTAGCAGCCTGAGCCTCCCGAGTTTAGGAACTGACTCGAGACCCAGGTCTCTGAAGATAAAGGGATCTCCATTAACTTTTTGATTTTCGTCCTGTAGCTGCTGATGATTTTATTAGATGAGGGAAGTAAGGAGATTTTATTTTTTTCCTGTAAGGGAGCCCCCTGTGCAAGGAACTGGGGAAAGTTCGTGACCACTCAGTGTTTTTGTAGGAAAACTAAGACTCACGACACGACGACTCCTGCAGCTTCCTGCCCTAGGAGGGACGAAAGCTACAAATGCAGCGCCGCAGAGCTCCCCTCATTTTTCACTCTAGACTGCGTTGTTTAAAAGCCACCCACTCCCTAGATTAAAGGAGACACAAGCCCCGCTGAACTCAACATGGCCTGCTTCAGTTATTAGCAAAAAGAATTTCCTCTCCAGTTAAATACTGTAGCATTTGCATAAACTATATTAAGAGAGATTGCTATATTAAGCAGACCTGCCCTCGAACCATCAGAGGCAAATGAACTTTTAGCAGAGAGCTTTCTGAGACAGAAACTGATATCTAGGATTTACGTGCTGGATTTTAATACAACCATTCCACAATGCCGTGTTTCCCACGTTGTGCTACTGAAACCAATAATGAAGCAGTAATAAGGTAAACTGCTCCCTACCAAATCCAAACTATTGTTGAAAAATCACAGAAACAAAACAGAACTCAAAGCCAGTTTTTTTTACAGTACTTTTCAGAGTGCATGCTGGAACTGAACTTTCTCAAAGATCGGCATTAACAATGTTTTTCTGCCTTTAGAACAAAAATTATAACAGCCTTTGGCAGTCTGTATCCATTCCCAGTCTGCTCAGCTTTACTTTCTCATCCCGTAGCATTTGCAACAAAAAAGAAAGCACAGAATGAGAGGTGGAGGTCTTTTTGCTTAAATTTAATTCTAGAAAACCTCTTCCTTTTACTCTCTAACATGTTGTGTGTTTGCAGGTGTGTGTGTTTGTGTATGTGTGTATTTGTGGCAGCAGAACACAGGATCTAACCACGGGAGTGCAATAGATCTGGGAGGGAAGTGGTGCCCCGCGCAGATTAAGGGAATTCTCGTTACTGAGATGATAACTTCCATCTGACACAATAAGAGTGTCACTCTCCTTGCCTATTTCTGATCATGACATAAAATACTCACTGGAGTCTGGGCATTCTCGAAACACCGAGCTCCTTGCTGCATGTGCTGTAGATGTCACTGCTGTCTGATTGTGCTTGAATTAACACACTGTTTTGACTTCTGGAAAATGCCTAAAGGACAATGCAAAAAGCTTTTGTGAATTTGTTTTTAAAGAAAGAAATCCGGTTTCTTCGTGTTTCCATTTAGAAGGCAGAGAGTGTGTGAACTGTGGAGCAACTGCTACCCCTCTCTGGAGAAGAGACGGCACCGGGCATTACCTGTGTAACGCCTGCGGGCTCTACCACAAAATGAACGGTCAAAACCGACCTCTCATTAAACCTAAGCGAAGGCTGGTAGGTGTCTCTGTTTCTTGTGGGTTTGGGGATAAATGAGGTAAAGGGACCACACGCAGGCACAAGTCAGACGCGCCTCATCTCTGCTGAGCCCCTGCGCGGAGCCGAGCTGTACTGTACAGGGGGTCAGTCGCGCTGAGGTCACTGCTGTGCCTGGAGGCAGTTTCCCCCCTCCACGCCCCCAGCCCTGGCATCCCCGGCACAGACCACCGCACCGCTGAGCTCGCCTCTGTCCCGAGCCTCCCTGCCGCTCACAATGCATGTGGGATATCGTGTGTCCTTCTCCCTGTTTATCCTCAGTTGACAGCTTTTAATTTAATTCCTCATTTATTTGGCCTCTTGGGACGTTTTGGGTGCTTACTGGGAAAGAAAGGGTTATGAGCATCCATGTCCTCCACCATGTACTAAAAAAAAAGTTCCAGCTCCAAAAAGCAAAACAAATCAGATGAGTCAAAGCCACTGCTCCCTACTTAATCATTATTTGTATAAAAGCCATGAAGTAATTTTCACTCTTATATTCTCTGGCAATATTAATATTGGTTCCCTCCCCAGACAATCCCCTACTGTTTAAAAAAAAATCCTATTATTTTTCCATGGAGTCACCTATACTTTGTATTTTCATTTGAGTGATTTAAAAAAAAAGTCCTTTCTAAGCTCCTGGTAGTAGTTTCCTATCCGGATATCTGTACGTTAAAGATAAGGAAACTTTGTGTATCTGTTTCCTGACTCTAAAAGCTTTAGAGAGTTTCTATAGGCAAGCCTTGCCAGTCATGCTTGCTGTTTTGAAATTTCTAATACACTCTGCTCCACAAATAATGTGTAAAATGCTGAGAATAATAAATATATTTTTCGGAGCTTTGTGATTTATAGTGCCTAAGTCCCTTAGCTATTTGTGGGCACGTTTCAATGAGGTTTGGAAAGCAGAAAATTGGCATTACTACTCTAACACCGAGATGGGATACAGAAGATTTCTGTCATGAGTCAGAATTTCAGCTATGCAAGCTTCTTAATGACTTTCCTTCTAAAGTGACTGACATATAGAAAAATGTTAAGACAAAGGTGTAACATTATCAACGTATCTCGGGCTCAAGTGCTTTCCAGTCTGAATGGAACAGGCTGTAGGGCTAAGCAGCGTAGTTGAGTATCAGTAAGCCATCTCAAATATGCAAACATAGGTCTCCACCTTCCAGTGTTGGGGCACTGTTATACTCCCTGCAAGGAGCTTGGGGGGCTCTTGGGAGGTTTTCTTTGAGTTTAGTTGTTTTAACGTTTTGTTTTAATTGATTTACAGCTTTGTTTGTTGCCCCTTTTTCCACTGTAGTTGGCTTGATTGCGGGTGAGAGGAGATGGCCATCTTTGGGGAATTTGTTCATCTGACGTGCAATAGCAAAGTGATCATATTAATAATGTCAGTGTTTAGGAGTCTGGCATTAATTGTGTTTGGGTTGCGTGAGTGTACTTGCAGTAGGGGGTACCCCCTCTTTCTGCCTGTGGCCTGTTCTCACGGGCGAGTACGGGACTGAGACATATGAGTCTCCCAGGGCCTGATTCTTGCCTTAAGCTGCTGAGCCATCCATCAGCTTTGGGAAAGATACAGAGGGCTATGGTGTAAATCAGGAGCAAGTGAGAACAGAACCTGGTGCTCCTCTTTTGCGAGCAAGCTGGTCTGTGCTTTGAGTGTTGCCGGCAGAGCCGGCAGGCAGCGAACCGCACAAAGTTCTCATTTGGGAAACCCACCTCTCCAGGAACCCTGCCCTGTGCTCCTGGGGGTGCCCCACACATTAATGTGAGCTTCGCTGCTGCTTCATCCTATGGCTCTCAGTAGCTTAATTGCAAAAATGCCCAGGGAGCAAGAAGCTCAGCACTAATCCAATTGCAGAAAATGGATTGTATTTTGGCTGCTGACAGAGTCAGGGCTGAAGCTTTCCAATACAAAATGATTTTCCAAAATACGGGGTGCGATCAGTCCGTCCATAACATCTTATAGGATTGCATGCTTGCACAAAGAATGTGTTGTGGGGTCTGCTAGACAAGGGCCCATCCAGAAATTGCCGGCTGCCTGCTGTTCTACTTTTCCTGTTCTTGTTTTGGGAGGTGCATATGTGTTTGGGCATTTTTCTTCCCCCCTACCTTATTTTAAGCAGAACAATAGTTTTAGAAAGGGTGGTGGATTTGGGGTTGTTTTGGTTTGGTTTGGTTTGGTTTGGTTTTTTTCCTTCTTTTTGTTTTAAGACAGTTTAAAGACTTGTCAGCCAAGGAACTGAGTAGGGACAGAGGCAGCAGGGTCAGCAGCATCATTGCTGCAAGGCATGAAATTTGGTTTGCTAAATATTTAAAGAAAGTTGGAGCCGGTTTTGGTTTCTCCCTTTCACTTGCAAATGGAACTGAATTTTCAGTGATGGCTCTGATAAATACTGCACCCAGTTAAGTAATGCAGTTGGTTTTCTTTTGTGTCCATCTTTAAAGGGCCAGAGTAGGGGTAAAAATCACATTCTTTAAGATTGTTCCCTCTTTGCAAACCCAGTTCCAACATTAACACAAACTAAATCAGTCATTTTACAAAAAAATAAAAAGGAAAAAAAAAAAGGTGAATGTATTTTCGTGACACATTCTAAAACCCTGCAAAGGGAAAACCTGAAAAACTCAGATGTCCTTTTCCCCTCTAAGATTTTTGTTTGTGTAAAGATGCATTGTTTCTCTCCTTGCATCCCCTGCACTCATGGTGCCACGAGACTGAAAGCTGCAGTCCGGATAGGACAATGCTTGAATTTAAACAAAAACCCAACGGCCGCAAAACGTAAAAGTGACGGTTTTCCTTCAGCCCTGATGCTCTGTAAATCCTTAGTAACTGGTTCTACCCAATCTAAATATTGAGTCCAACTTGACCTTTCTCATGATCTCCCCCCTCCTGCCGATAGATTTTTAATTGTCTTTCTCTTTTGGTTAGTCAGCGGCTAGGAGAGCAGGGACTTGTTGTGCCAACTGTCAGACAACCACCACAACCTTATGGCGACGCAATGCGAACGGGGACCCAGTTTGTAATGCCTGCGGACTCTACTATAAATTGCACAATGTGAGTATTTACTCATCTCATGTGCCGCTGCTTGCCTAGCTGGGATTGATGTCTTAACTGCATGGTGTACACTAGGCTTTTATTGGTTTCAGGGTTTTGGTTGTTTTATTCCTTCCCCGTCTCTAAGGTTCCCCGGGGAAGTGACAGCCATTCTTTGTTGGCATAGTGATGCTAAGTTCAGTGACATTACAATGTATTAGCTTGGCTTCTAACGCTTGGGCAAATCAGGCAAAATAGAGCCACCACACTTGGTTTTAACTGAGCGTGTTTTGTGTGCTGTTTCCCTTCAGAAACACAGAGGCCATTTGGAATGGGCTCTGCAAAAAATTAATCCTGATGGGGCATCTTAATTTTGA